ACCACCATCAACAATCTCAGTTGATGTTAATATTTAACTTATTTAAAATGTATATCATCTATCAAAATTTATCTAGTAGTTCTATTTCTCTTAAAAATTCAAGAATTAAATGAGTACTGACATTATTAAAAAGATCCTTCAATGAAGATGAATGATAATATTTATCCCTTGTGAGAGAGAAATCGACACAATCAAGCAAAACATGCTTGACGGTGATTCTCTCATCACAAGGGATACAGAATGGAGGATCTTCAGCTTTTAACAAATATTCGTGCGTATAACGAGAATGGCCAATACGACATCGTCGCAGAATGACCTCTTCAAATCTGGACTGACAACCCAAGTAAGTGTAACCGATGGTTTGTTTTATGGCATGTAGCTTATTTACACCCACTTGGGTGTCCCACTTCTTTTGCATAAGGTCCCTGATGTAACATCTAATAACAGGTTTAATATCACTGTATGGAATAAGAAGTGGGGTCACAGAAATGTTGAGTGCTGCTTTTGCAGCAGCATCAGCCATTGTGTTACCAACAATGCCGACATGGCTGGGCAACCAACAGAAGACAATGTCGTATTGGCCAGTGGCAAGGTCATTGTACATTTCTAATATATCCAAGATAAATGGATGACCCGAAGACATGTTTTTAATCGCCTGAAGACAAGACAGTGAATCAGAAAATATTATAAATTGTTTGTGTATGAACTGCTGTTGAATGTATTCCAAAGCTGTGAGTATTGCCTTAGATTCGGCTGTGAATATAGAGCTATTGTCGGGTAATCGGGAAGAGATAGTTTTAGATCCAATGACAGTGGCACTAGAAACATTGCCACCGTCCTTGGATCCATCAGTGAAAATAGAACGGTGAGAATCATAATTGCTCCTCAACTGAATGTAATCCTGTTGATAGTGTAAGTCATTAGTTTCTGATTTTTTGTTATTAGCAAGCGTTAGATCCACTGTCGGTCGAACCAATTGCCATGGAGGAGATGATAAAAGTCTGTGTGGAGATACGATATCAAGTTCTATCCTGGCAGCAGTAATATGGGATTTCATCCGAATCCCAAGAGGTGGAATATGTTTGGGTTTCTTCTGAAACAGTTCTTCATATTGTGGATGAAAAACTGTATCATAAGCAGGATTTGATAGATTTGAACGTAGTTTTGCAATATACTGAAGAGACAATTTTATACGTCGTTGGTGAAGAGAAGGCTCATCAGCTTCGACATAAAGACTATCAATAGGAGATGTCCTGAAGGCGCCAAGACAGAGTCTCAGGCCTTGATGGTGGACTGTATCTAATTTTTCGAGATTACTCTTACAGGCTCCACCATATACAATCGAGCAATAATCTAATTTGGAGCGAATAAGAGATCTGTATAAGTGGAGGAGGGTTGTCTGATCCCCTCCCCACTTAGAATTTGATACGACTTTCAGTAGATCTAAGGCCTTCAGGCATTTATTCTTCAGATAGTTAATATGGGGCAAATAGGTCAAATGATGGTCAAAAACAAGTCCCAAAAATTTGGCCTCCTCAACAACCTTGATTGGAGTATAGTCAAGAAACAATTCAGGATCTTTATGAGGTTTATAACTTCGACAAAAATGAATACAATTTGTCTTGGATTTTGAAAATTTGAAACCATTTTTTTCACACCAATTCTGAATTTTATTTAAGCAAAGCTGCAATTGTCTTTCAATATTGCGCATATTTTTGCCACGACACGAAATGTTAAAATTGTCAACAAATAATGACCCATCAATCGAGTCATTTAATACAGTTGCTAAACTGTTAATCTTAATACTAAACAAAGTGACAGACAATATACTGCCCTGTGGGACACCCTGATCCTGATTATAATGATCAGACAGGGTTGAGCCCACGCGGACTTGGAATTGCCTGTCAGTTAAAAACTTTGATACAAATTGAGGCAAACGGCCTCTCAAACCAAAGTCATGTAAATCATTCAAAATACCATGTTTCCATGTGGTATCATATGCTTTTTCTAGGTCAAAAAAGATTGATACCGCATGCTGCTTATTTGCAATGGCATTTTTGATAAATGAATCCAAACGGACTAAATGATCTATGGTACTTCGGTTCTTTCGGAAACCACATTGAATGTTAGTGATTAAATTGTTGGTTTCCAAGTACCAAACCAATCTATTGTTTACCATACGTTCCATGGTTTTACAGACACAGCTTGTTAATGAGATAGGTCGATAATTTGAAGGATCTGAATGATCCCGGCCAGGCTTTGGTATAGGTATGACAATGGCATTATGCCAAGAAGATGGAAAATTCCCTGAAGTCCATATTTCATCAAAGATACAAAGCAGAACTTCTAAACATGATTCAGGCAAGTGTTTAAGAAGTTGATAATGGATGTTATCAGCACCCGTTGCAGTATCATGGGCCTGTCCAAGTGCAGTATTTAGCTCATGAATTGAAAATATTTCGTTATAATCTTCACCATTGTCGGAACTAAAATTAATACTTTTCTTTTCTTGTTGTTGTTTGTATTTTTGAAATTTAGGTACGTAATTAGATGATGAAGAGTGTTTGGCCAAAGTTTCGCCCAGTTTATTTGCAATGTCATTCTTATCAGTCAGTAATCTATCTCCATCTTCAAGATGATGAACAGCAGACTTTGAACCTTTACCTTTGATTTTTTGTATCATGTTCCACACCTTTGAAATCGGAGTTCGGGAATTGATTTTTGATACATATCTTCTCCATGATTGGCGTTTTGTTTGTTTAAATGTACGCCGTGCCTTGGCGTTTGTTATTTTAACATTATTAAGATTATGTACCGTAGAATGTCGACGGAAATACCTTTCCGCCTTCTTCCTAATCTTTCTGGCCTTTTTACAATCTGTATCAAACCATGGTTTACGAATGTGTGGTATTACAGAGGACTTAGGAATAGCTTCGTCAGCAATTTCATTCAGTTTATCAGAAAACACCTGAATGGGATCAGGGACATTTATTAAAATATCAGTTGTCAATATTTCCTCACATAATGATTTGAATAAAGGCCAATTTGCCTTTGAAAAATTCCATCTCGTTGAAGGTGGCTCATCAGCTGGGATGTTGGCAGTAAGAATAGAAGGGAAATGGTCACTCCCACACATGTCATCGTGGACTGACCATGTAAATTCGGTTAACAGATTTGAATCTGAGATTGAAAGATCCAAAACAGAATAAGAACCACTAGCAGGATGTAAGTAAGTTTTTGTGCCATCATTAAATATACAAAGATTATTATCAGTGATAAAATCTTCAATGACTTTACCCTTAGAATTTGTGCTATCACTTCCCCATAGAGGATTATGACCATTCAGGTCGCCCATGATGATACAGGGTTTCGGGAGCTGGTCATATAACGATTGTAGGTCAGATCGCTGAAGAGCTGAAGAGGGTGGAATATACAATGAGCACAAAGTAAAAACAACGTGCAGTGTGAGTCGAACTGCAACAGCCTGTAGATTGACATTCAGAGGAACAGGATTGTGGATCACATCCTGCCTCACCAGAATAGAACATCCCCCAGTAGCCTTAACAGAGGGAGGAGAAAATGAATGATGCGAAATGTATTTACGCATGTCAAACTTATCTGTTGGCTTGAGATATGTCTCTTGCAGACAGAATGCCAACGGCTGAAAGTCTTGTACTAATAATTGCAATTCATTAAAATTGGTCCTAAGTCCTCTGCAATTCCATTGTATAAGATTAGGATCTCTGTTCATGGAGGTTCAACTGGGGAACGTGGACTTGTGGAGGGGCCATTCCCATGGTCTGGGAGGGAAGGAGAGACCTCCATGGTCAATGGTTCAAAATGATTTTGAACCGGAACAGTCGTTACAGAAGAGGAGGGCACAGCCAGATGCTGAAGTGCCTTCGTCTTTTTTTCAACTTTTTTTTCTCTGTTTTTGTGAGATGTACATCACCTTGGGCTATATCTTGTGATGGTTCAGGTGTTGAGTCATCAGTTTGGCAAGCGGAAGAAATTTGGAAAGTTGGAGATACTTCCTCCAATAATCTTTGTGTGTCAGTTATCCATGATATGTCAGTTTGACAGGATATAGAAGCTGTTGTTGGTCTCAGAACAGAAACTGGAGCAGGAGAAGAAATTGCAGCTGAATATGTAAGAGATGGATTTGGGTTTGATTGAACAGAAACTAATTTTTTGGCTTCAAAATAGGAAATATTTTGAGTGCATTTGAGTTTCATAATCTTTGCTTCATATTCAAATGTTGGACAAGATTTTGATGATGTTAGATGTTCACCGTTGCAGTTAGCACACTTGATGTCATTTGTGCAATTATTGCTCTCATGAGCTTCACCGCAACGGGAACATTTTGTTTTTCCATGGCAAGATTTTGCACCGTGTCCAAATTTTTGGCATTTAAAACAACGGAGTGGATTTGGTACATATACCTCCACTCCGATGTTGCAATATCCGGCTTTAACAGACTTGGGAAGAGTTGTCAGTCCGAAGGTAGACAGGTAAGTATTAGTGTTTATGATTTCGGATCCTTGTTTCCTAGTGAACCGTTTTACAACGGTGACACCTTGAGATTTCAGCTCGTCTGCAATTTCTTCTTCTGACATGTCAGAAAGACAGCGTGACCAGTCTCTGACGATGCCTCTACACGAGTTCAGTGTCTTGTGCACTGAGACAACAACCTGGGTGTTTACAAACTGCTGTATACCCAGCAGATTGACAGATTGCTGTCTTCTTACACATTCCACTAATAGAGAACCACCTCTCAGTCGAGTAACATTTTTAACGTCTCCGCAGACACCTTGGATGCCCTTGGAGACTGCAAATGGATTCAGTTTCAATGGACTTCCATCCGCAGCTTCAATAACCAAGAATTTTGGCCAGGAATCAGACACAAATTGAGAAACTTCTTCATCTGATGAAGAAGAAAGATGTCTTTTTTTATTTGCTTTTACAGAACCAGAGTGTAATGTGTTAGCCATGGTAGGGTGATGTGGTTCAGCAACCCTGCTCCCCACCCGCCACCGAGTGTCAACAAAGACGATGTTGCAGTGGAAACCAGACTGAAACATCAGGGCTACAGGGGTGGTATACTCCAGAAACACAGACTTGTATAGCAAGGAGATCTGAAAGAAGAAACGCCAGGCTGGTTCGACCTTTGACATTTTTCTTGAGAAACTCAGAATACAGAGGTCCATATCACCAGATTGGCCCATGAGCCACTGCCTTCTGGCATAAGACTCTAGGCAAACGTTTACGTAATAATTTGGGATGTCAAACACGTAACACATGACCAAGACCAAATAATACATTAATATCAATCACATTTGTGCAAACACAATATTATGCACAGGGCCTGGCATGACCAGCCGATTGATAAGACCGGGCCCATCTTACCACCCGTCTAGGCGAAGTAAGGGTCGAAGTAGTGTGTTGGGCAAAGGAACACAGTTCCAGGAACCAGAGCCCTCAACTACCAGACTCCCGTCCTCCGCCGACACAGGGACGCAACCCACGGCAAACAGGTTGCCCATTTCAGTCGCCTCATACGACAAGCAATGGGAGGCTGTGGAAATATTCTGCCCCGGTTCCACACGGGGGAAGAGCGATTAGCGTTACCCAGCACTCACCACGAGGAGGTTGCTCTTCACGAGTGCCTGAACCGGCTAAAAAATGCACTTTCAATTATGCATTAACTAAAACAGATATATATGGATATCTGGTGGATATAATCGTTCTGTGTGGCCTCGCTCAAAGCATGCCATCTGATTCCGACGACGTGGCTTGTTGCACTAATTGCTATTGTATATCTAGAATGTGGTTGAATACGATGTAAAACAACATTTATTTACCCGCTCAATTAAATGTATCTAGCGAATGATTGGTGCTTTATTTCAGGTGTGGAGTTAGTCGGTCCTTCAAAGCGAGTATTGACGGGCATCGTATGTGAACTATTTTGGACATGCGGTTCATTCATAACAGCAACACTTGCATACTTTGTGCGAGATTGGCAACGCCTGCAGCTGATACTGTCTGTGCCAACGGTTCTGTTTGTGGCATATTACTGGTAAGCCTTGTGTAAATCAAGGTCTGACTCCCGGCTCTAAAAGGGGTGCCCAGTAGAATAGTTACCCGCATTAGCTGATAACGTTTATGTTATATAGATTCGGCGCCTATACAACAATCCTTTTGACAGTGTATGAATTTTATGATTCAAACACAATTCGACACTACCTGGCCGATAATGTTTAAATGAACCCGTATGACTTGGATCGTTTCTCATGATGTCACGACTGATCATGACTTGCTTTATCCTAATTGTTCTGTTATCTACTACTCATATTTAGCATTATTCATATATTCAACATGTACTCAACATCTATTCATATTGTATTAAAAAAACTCGTTTAATGTAATGATGGCTGTAACATCTGCCATGATAAGCTTGCAAGCAAAAATATGTCACTGTCGAATGACTATTTGGAATGAATAAAAGCTTGGCATAGAAGGGGGATACGTGTGGAATGAACAGACGTTTCCTTGAAGATCGTGTTACAGCAAACGAAATATCCTATTTGTGAGTACACATAGTTTCTTGATGAACTGTTTCGTTTATCCGTGTGTGGACACCTTTATATGTTTGAAGGGCACTACGAAATCTACCACTTGTACTGTCGACATTACATGTCTCCATTTTAGAGCTGGTAGTCAATCCTTGATTTGTTCAGATGGCGCCAGTACAGAGAGGGGGCATTTATAATTATAATAACAACAATATATATATCGCAATAATAAAAATAAGCAAATGAGTGAACAATGTTATTTGTACAAGCTCAATATAGTCTAATGGGTTTGGAAGGCCCTAAGGAATTGTGATTGTTTTTGTTGTTTATGTTCCATTTGATCGTGCAGATATATGACAACACACGTTAGCATTCTTTTCAGATTCCAAGATGAAATTTGAAGACATTGTGAAGATCCTGGGTGACTTTGGCTCTTATCAGAAGAAGCTTTACTTCCTGTTGTGTATCCCCACGATATCAATCGGGATGCAGACAATAATGACTGTCTTCTCACTTGGTGTGCCACATCACAGGTACATATTAGTAGGCGCCATTGATGTGGTCATCATGCTACCTCTCAAACACGGCTATACACTGCATACACAAATAACGTCGGTTTTCCGTATATGGTCATTGGACGGGAAAACAACGCTATTTGGACGCTTTCAAACCATGGTTTTTCCGTCCAAATAACGTCGTTATTTGACATCGGAATTTATCAGGAGTACATCCAATGATCACTCATATTTATCACCACTATCTATGCTTACCGCTTCATGCCTTTTGTACTTTGAACTGACGTATTAGGGGATTTAATTGACGGTTCTTTTTGTTTATACGTATCAGACTAGTGTTACTTAAACATGTCTATGGAGAACCGACGGTTTTAAAAGGTACTGTTTCAGAAAAACGTCGTATTAAAAATACGGGGCAGTGGTATTGACTTCTTATTTATATATTGTGTGATGTCAAAACCAATTTTGAGAGCCTTTTCTTTGCTTTTGTCGAGGTGTTCGCTTCCTGACTGGGATAATGACACATACGCCATACAAGGGGACCAACATGCACGTGCCGTCAACGCAGCCTTTCCTCTCCCCATAAAAGGGACACAACTTGACTTTTCCTGTCTCATTAACGACAACACCAATGGGACAGATGGCGAAACATTGTATATTAATACTACTCGCAAATGTGACAATTGGGTCTACGACAACGAGCAGTTCGGTTCAACTATTGTTACGAAGGTTGAAACGTTTGCTAATTTGAAAAAGGATATCGATAAAACGTTAAAACAATAAGATACATACGAATGAAGTAAGGCATACAATTACATGTATGAGATTGTAGGAGAATGAGTGCATAAGACCTGACATTTCACATCGAGTAAGACAGTGCGTCTTATAAAGGAAAGATGTTCACGTTGCTGATATGTCTTGCAATTGTATAAACTTTAACTTTCAAAAGCTTTTGTTATTAGACGTTCCATTAAGTGTTCATTGCATAGCGCCATTGACCCAATATTGTGTTGTTTTGTTCAGTTTGGTTTGGTGTGCGACTTGAAGCTGGCGAAATTTCATGCTCAGATGTTTTTTATGCTGGGTTTCCTGCTGGGCAGTCTGCTTTTGGTTGCACCTGCAGATTAGTAAGTTCCTAATAGTTCCTATCGAGTAGTTCATGTATTTTATTGGTCACAATTGTGATTGACACGTTTACTAACCGTTAACTGTTGTGTAAAACAATATCCGCTTTTTTCTCTTTGTGGAATAGAAGTTTAATGGTGAAAATAATTGTTCAATGCATATACTTTGGGTGTAAACATCTTTCCTTGGCATTTTGGGCAAATTAACAAATAAACATGAATGCGCTATACCTGTAAAAGAGAAATGATAAAGGAAAAGTAATATTGAAAGTGCAATGCTGATGCTGATGTCTCCGAATTGTCTGTGTGCAGCATCGGGCGTAAGAAGATGTTCATGGTGTCAGTTGTCTTGCACATAGTATCCACCATCTCGATAGCCTTTGTCTCCAACTTTGCCACCCTCGGTCTCCTCTACTGCATTATCGGGATGTCATGCATTGGCGTCTGGAGCAACAGCTTTGTTGTAGGTAGGAACTACTTTGTTATCCTAATCAAGGTGATGGATTGTTACAGAAAGAGTTAACATATTATGGATCCAATGTGCTTTAACTTTTTTACTACATGTAACCCGTGAAGATCCGGGGTAGAAATTGGTCTTCTGAAACCCATGCTTGCTGTAAAAAGCGACTATGCTTGTAGTAAAAGGCGATTAACGGGATCGGGTGGTCAGCCTCGCTGACTTGGTTGATGCATGTCATCGATTCCAATTGTGGATGGATGCGCATGATATTAATCACTGGATTGTCTGGTCATGACTCGAATATTTACAGATCGCCGTCATATAGCTGAAATATTGCTGAGTGCGGCGTTAAACAACAAACTAACCAACCAATCTTACTACATGTATCAGCATATTGAAATAGGTTTGGTAAGAACTATTTCTTGAAACGAGATATAATGAGATATCTCTTTCAACACAGTATTCTCATAATGGGCCAATTGTATTCATAGGAAACGTTTTATAATATGTATTAAGTTCAAATTTGAGATGGTCCTTAACACTTTATTTTCGTCAGCATGATCAATCTCAAGGGACAAAGAACAGTTTTCGATGTTCATAGGACAATAGTATAAATATTTTGAAATATGTCTTAACTATATGCTGACGATATGTCTTGTCAATGATACTAATCTACAGCAGACAATTGAATGTTACACAAACGGGCGGTTTTGAAACGGTGTGAAGCAAGGGAAAGTGTAAATTGTGTACTTCTATTTTCCATGTTTGTAATTGAGGGAACAGCGTAAATCTATTTCAGTGCCATATATACACGCGCATATATATATAAACACCAGGCGTCGCACAAAGTCCTGTGGGATATCTGTCCATATCTGCTGGAGCATGTTTCGAAGTTCCTGGAGTGTCTGTGGAACACGTGGTTGATCCATCTCATCCCACGTGTGCTCGATTGGTGAGAGATCAGGGGATGACATTCACGCTGTTTTGTTGAAGAGGGTCCTGAACAAGTCGAGCAATATGAGGCCGGGCGTTGTCATGTTGAAAGGTAATGCCTGGGTCATGACGACGCAAAAACGGTAGAACCACACGGCCGATGGTCTCGTCGCGGTAGCGCTGCCCATTGAGATTTCCCTCTACAACTACCAAACGGGTCCTTTGTCTTGCTGTAAGCCCACCCCGTACCATAACGCTGCCGCCCCCGAACCGATCTTCCATGACACAATGATTGCCGTAACGTTCACCTCGACGTCGGTACACTCGAATCCGTCCATCGCTGTGGCTGAGGTGAAAACGAGACTCGTCAGTAAATAGAACTTGTCCCCACTGCATGGCCGTCCAACGTAGACGCTGTCTGCACCACTATAGACGTGCTTGACGGTGGTTTCCTGTCAAAATGTTACGTCTGGTGGGTCTTCTGGCGGCAATCCGTGCACATCTGAGGCGACGGTTTGTGAAGACATTCGTCGAAGGCCAGGGATGCTTCTTGCAGTCACTGTTGCTGGCTGGAATCGATTTCGTAGGTGTGTTGTTCGAATCCAGTTGTCTTGTCGATTATTGGTTACGCGTGGCCTGCCACTCCGAGGATGGTCTCTGACTGCATTCGTCTGTTGCCAACGTTGCCATAAACACCAAATGGTCTTTCTGTGGACGTTAAATTGTCTTGCAACATCACGTTGACTCGATCCTGCTTCAAGCTTACCAATGGCTCGTAGACGCTCATTTTCGGACAGGCGTGGCATTTCGTAATGTTGAATAATTGCGTAATTTTGTTGTTTTTCTGAGTGGTTGTCAGCACGATGCTTAACAATGCATATGTAATCCCGTTAACGCACATGTTTATATATATACTTACATCAAGCCCATGAGTGAGTGAGGTAAGATTTAACGTCACATCGGCAGTATTTCAGCCATATCGTGACGAGAAGTACATTAATAATACACATAATTATACGAAATAAAAACCTGTCGACGAAGGACAGTAGAATAACTAGAATATCACAGACTTGATTTAAAACTAGTTGTGAATAATAAAAACAGTAAGCAGTAATGAACATCACAATATAAAAATGGGCTAGAAATCGTCAGCCACTGAAAGGAGATCACCATACTGGGGACCATGGGGACTTACAGTACCTTAGCTTCCTGCACGGACCCCGGCAGGATACATCAAGCCCATGATCATGTACTGGGGAAATAAGTATTTGAGATGTTTCATGATTTTATCAATGACCATTCGAATGCTAAACATGCTGATTGATATTAATTAACATATCGTTGATTTTCACGTAGCGCAATAATCAATAATTGAAGCAACTCCACTGACATGACAGACTAACGTCTTGTGCCTGTGTACCGATACCAACCCCTGCATGAATAGTATGTGATTTGTGTGGAATATAAAACAGTTTAAAGACACTTTCCTGCTAATAAAAAAGCAATGTGCACTATGCAGTTAACATAAATCACCCGTATTACGTGCCCACTATGGCATGCAGGGACTGAATAGGTAACCAGTATGCGACATTGCTTATTGACATTACTCTTGATATATGTAAGCCCTGATTTACCAGGCATATAGTTATATGTTTTACAGGTCACCGTGGCACAGCTGTAATAATTTGACTGCGGCGTGAAACAACTTTCACTTCTTTCCATGTAGTTAACTCGTCTCATGGTGTCTTTGGTTTCAGGTGTGGAGTTAGTGGGGCCTTCAAATCGTGTTTGGACGGGAATCATAGTTGAAACATTCTGGACAGGTGGATCTTTAATTGTAACCACTATCGCATATTTTGTACGTAATTGGCAACACGCGCAGCTGATAGGTTCAGTGCCAACAGTTCTGTTCCTGTCATATTATTGGTAAGTCCCTCGGTACACCTACAGGGCTTGCTGGGACCATCTTGTATAATCATTTTAAGGATCTGAGGACTCATGAATATTAAGCGAACAAGACACAAGTTTTGTTTGAATAGCTCAATATAAAGTGACAATTTGCTGCATTTTGATAGTGATTTCTAAATGGTTAATAACTAAATGTGGTATGTCTATATTTTTCATTTAAGCAAGAAAAGTGGTGTTAGATATCATGCTTTAGCAATCATTTAAATGGGCTCGTGTCTTCCTAATATTCCCACAGGTGAATGTTTCTTACAAACTGCAACACACCATTTTAGGTTGATGCCGGAGTCTGCGCGCTGGTTGCTCAGTAAACAGAAGTATGAGGAAGCCGACCAGATATTACGTCATGCTGCCAAAGTCAACAAGGCGACCTTGCCCTCTGATATGTTCAGCGAAAACATGCAAGAGCAGAAGACGGAGGAACCGCTATGGCAGATGTTCAAACGTCCCGCTTTGGTTATCCGCAGCCTCGTGTTGTTTCTCAATTGGTAGGACTTATACTTAAATAGTTGTATTACCTGTTTAATATTAGTTGTTTCATAAGCGTTAGTACCGAGCGAACAGTTTCACTGCCACAGACGTGATACATTCTACATGCCATAACCCTCCCATCACAGATTTTAGCGTTAGAGTCGCTCTCAAATATTGGTTGACTCAGCCCAGACGAGATTTCGTGTATAGCACCATGTCGCTGGAATAATATGGTGTTAAGCTACATTCTCTCAAAGATCATAATGGATAATGAAGAAAATGTAAATTCACACAAACACCTTGGTGTTATATTGTCGTCATTCGGCAAGTGGCCATGTAAAATTGATGAAGGTATTAAAAGATGATTTATACAATGAGAAAGCTAAAGTTTATGCTCAGTCGTGGTGTACTGAACAAGATATATGTATTATTTGTTAAACCACATTTTGTATATGCATGGGAAGTTTGGGGCGGTTGTACCTTAGAGGAGAGTGACAGATTAGAAAAACTCCCAACTTGAAGCTGCAGGAATTGTAACATGTTTACCAAGCTGTACTTCTGTCAAAAAATTAGATTTGGATACTTCCCGTGAGCCCTTATCAGAGCGTATGAGTAAACGGAAATTGTGTTTATTTCATAAAATAAATTAAAATATGACACTGTCATACCTTAAAGATGTAGTACCTCACTCTTTCGGGACAAAAATAACAAACAGCCTTAGAACTGCTCATAATATAACTATGCGTTTCTTATGTACAAAGATTTCTGAATCGTCGTTTATACCATCCTCTATTAAATTGTTGAATACATTACCCATTCAACAAAGGAATATTGAAACCTTCTCTCAATGTAAATCCAGTTTTTAGAACGGGTAAGTCTAAAGTTCCATCAAATTTCTTGTAAATATTGACCTGATGCTAGTGTGCAATGCAGTTGTACCTACTGATGTGAACGAACACATTTTTTTAGGAATGTACATACATATTTAAAGAAAACAAACACTGTTTGAGTGAGCAATGTTAATGTACATACGTTTCGTTATTTCTGTTCTTCCCTTTCTGTCATTAAGTTATTAATTGTAAAAAAGCACACATGTAAATCTATGGGATAGGGCGTTCTAGGTTGTTATAACTTGTGCCCAATCCTTTTCATGAGAATATAATGTGTTCAAACAAACAAAGATCAGAATCGGGCAATATTTCGGATTTTGTTAAACATGACCTTCAGATGAATAACTAAGTAGTCACAAGAAGTCACAATCTTTCCTTCATTTACCGAGGTACAGACCCGTAATGCCGCGGTATCAGGAATCAAATCATTGCGTCATGTTCCAGGTTCGTTGCCAGTATTGGCTTCTATGGACTCGGCCTCAACGTAGCCAACCTGGGCGGGAGTGTCTACACTAATTTATTCATTGCTGCTTTGACTGAACTAGCTGGCCATGCCTCATGCCTTGTACTCCTCAATCGCGTTGGGAGGAAGTCTTTTCATTGCTTCGTAATGATCCTCGGCGGGTTGTGCTGCACAGCTACAATCCTACCTGAGCTCTATGGAAATGGATGTAAGGAATCATTCCCAATTGATTTTTTCCTGGCCAACAAGCTAATGAGTCATAAAAACGAACACAATAATATAATGCAATCATCTCCACTTCAAGTGAAATGTCAGATGCCAAATACTCGGATTCAAGCAAACCATTTAGGAAGTAATATTAAAGAAGTGACTAGCCATCACGGAAAGTAAAAATTTAATACAATTGTTTGTTTAGAATATCTACAAGTATTTGAAAACCCTGCTGTGCTTAGACATCTGCAGGATATGTCATTATGTTGTCTGGAAACTAGGGCTGGGACGAGTCCAAATTTACTCCCCGGGTACCAGACCCCCCTATTACCCGAACCTACCCGGGTACCCACTGCAAGTCTCAAGAGTTGGGAACAAAATGTCTGATTTGTAATTGTTTTACCGTAGCCCTGGCTAAAACTATTTAGATACATGTATCAAACAATCAGATCATGCGTTCACTGAAGTTGACAGAAGCTTTATCTTTACTCAAACATATACATTTCAAAAGGAATGTGTGCATCGTCAGAAAGAAATTCGAACATTAGCGACATGTAGTGTAACCATTGAGCTATAGTGAGTTTTTGTCATCAAACAATATATCACGTGGCTAACCACGGGTCCGGGTAGCCCTGTGGGTACCCGGGTCTTACTCAGGACTCACCCGACCCGAGTACCTGAGTTACCCCTCCCAACCCTACTGGAAACCATGGAATCTTTTTTTCAAAAATTGGTAAGTCAAGTCAAAGGTCAAGGTCACCTTCAAGGCCACTACCTGAAAAACAGTTCGTTTCAACGCTAATTCAGGAAGAATTTACCGGAGGTAAAAAAAAACAGTTCAGCTTTTGGGCAGGGTAGAGATCTCAAGAGGTTGAAGATGATTTGTAAAATATTTTACCATTTTCTTCAAAATGCAAGATCATTAACTAAAGATCAGTTATTCCGGTACTATACCTCTCTTCGTGATTATTTGACGACACATCCAACGAAGGTTCCAAAGAACCCTGACCGCCTAATCAACATGAAGGCTGTGTGGGGTCTTGATCCCATGTCAACAATCCTGTTTCATTGCTTTACCCCCTAAATTAGAAAAAAACATCGAGTTTTAGAAACAAAAATCACACGCAGAGCAAATAGTACGTTGGCTGTAGACACCAAGATACAAAGAAAAGCCAGGTTTCCACAACAATATAATGGTGCGTCGTCTATCATTTACGATCGGGACAGGACGATTTACGTCTTCGAAATATGCTGGTCTGAATGTTTCGCTCATTCATTACGAGAATTTAGAACCATGAACGCGAGAGATTGATTGAGATAGACCAAGCCTTTTGCACATAGTGGCCATTCTTATGTATGTCAGGTGATTATAATCGTTATATATCAGTAGAATGTCATGGTGACCTAATCTCAGTGAATAGCATTTGCCATACTCTCTGTTATAAGGTGATTTCCAAACTGAAACTCAAAAGTTAACTCAGAAATCTGTTCGTACAGAACTAAATTGCGAAATCAATAAAAGACCACACAAGACCAAGGAATAACTAACAATTTAAAAAATATTTCACCTTGGCGAACTCAATGTATGTGTCAATATCATGTATTCATTCAGCATTACTCATAACTATAATGGATGGTTAGTTACTCGTATTTTCACCGCAAATCATTTACCTAAAATATATATACCTACTCCCCAGCTCTCAACTGGCTGACCATTGCCTTAGCTTTGACTGGTCAGGGTTTTGTAGTGGCCAGTTTCGACATCATCTGGCTTTATTCTTCGGAGCTCTTCCCAACGGTCATCAGAAGCTCGGCTCTCGCAGTGGCAAACATATTCGCCAGGGTTGGAGGAATTATATCCCCATACATTGCTGGCCTGGTATGTTTTTAAATCATTTCTATCTGTTTAGTTGTCTTTTGTGGCAATGTTTTCTCATAAGCTGATAGTACATGTTTGGTAATAGGTTTGGACTTGTCCGCAAAGACATCTTTATGGAACCACACGATCATGGCACATATAACAGAGACGGGCTGGTCTAAACATAATTTTTATAGAACAAGATCAATGAAAAACTGTTATTAGTTGAGATCCATTTCCAGCACTAGACATGCAATATAAAAGTTTGAGTCATAGTTTAATTCAGTTACAGCAATGAAAGCATAATGTTCGACTAAGGTGGTGCTGAACCATCAGAGTATGTCTGGTGAAGGCCGGTAGGCCAAAGGTTTGAGACTATGTTTATTTATTTATTTACTTGAATTCCCCTCTGAAAATGGACACAAAAGGATCTATCTATCTATCTATCTATCTATCTATCTATCTATCTATCTATCTATCTATCTATCTATCATCTCTTCTGTGCGTGTGTGATATCAGTTGGCAGCATTGCAGCATCGTCAAGCAAAATTCGATTTGCGAATGATATGGTCAAATCAGGTCTGATATTCTGACAACGTTCATTTGCAACTGTCTGATCATGGAACAAATACTGCATATCTCATGTTATGATCTATTTTTGAAAATATATTTGTGATCGATTCAAAACCTAATTATTTTTGTCACAGGCTCTCGTGATTTCTGGAGACTTTGGTCGAATTGTTCCTCTCATTATTATCGGAACATCAATGATTGTGGCGGGTCTGGCAGCTTTGCTGTTGCCTGAAACTGTAAACAACCCACTCCCCGATAATATAGATGATGCATGGCGGATGCAAAGGTAATAACGGCATTAATACCTAGTCAAAACTATACACACAGCCTACTACGTAATTAGAGGCAGAGCCGTATGCTAGCTAGATGGTTAAAACGTCGGCATGTCGTGCTGATGGCCCGGGTTAGATCCTCAAATGTGTACAATGTGTAGCGCCCTTTCCCGGAGAAACCTTTTTGGCTGGAAACCTACACTGCTATGCTCGGCAGCTTGAGACTCTATACCTAAGACTGTCACTGCTACCTACAATAGCGTGCCTACCCACACATACATCACTCCCACCAGCGTCAGAATCCACAACTACATACATTGACAGGGCTGTGTGTCTACCACCGGCGATATGACACAGAACTATGTGACTGTGAAGATATCAGCCTGACCAGCGATAGCTACAATGCACCTTCTCTCACAAAACTATGTAACAAATGAGTAATTCCTCCTCATACATAAATATTTTACGATGAAAATATACCAACTGAACCCCGTCGAGTTACACTCACGCCAGTGGTATAATCATTGCTCAACAGACGCCTATATGCAGCTTGATTTAGTGTTCCTGACTCCATTCCTTTTCTTTCATCAGGAGGCGCCATTCTGACGACACAGGGGCTGATTTTATCGACTCACATGGTGACGAGATTGTGATTCTACGACCAGTAGAGACTCAACAAGCTGTGAGGAATAACGGAGTATCAACATCGGCCAACAGAACACTTGAGGTTTTATGAACGCCACTAATAACCATCATCAGAAATCACAATAAACACAGCCACAAAACAGGTAGCTCGGTGCACAGGTGGATATTTGCTGCATATTCTCACGTCGATTATCTGTACCTTTTCTCCGGATTACCGATTGTCATATCTCTCCCGCTTTTAGATGCGATCGTTTGGCCACCGGGTTTATCTGCGTAGTCCACACAAGGACACTTCCCTCTTACTGATAACGTCGTCCGGTATATGATGCATCAAGTTGCGAGCGCATGTTCGAATCTCCATATTCGTGTACTAAACAACTCTTCGTTCTTCATTGTTCTTTATTACTTATCGCGTAGCTATCTTAAATATGCACATCTCGTTCTTCATTGTTCTTTATGACTTATCGCGTAGCTATCTTAAATATGCACATCTCTCTCTCTCTCTCTCTCTCTCTCTCTCTCTCTCTCTCTCTCTCTCTCTCTCTCTCTCTCTCTCTCTCTCTCTCTCTCTCTCTCTCTCTCTCTCTCTCTCTCTCTCTCTCTCTCTCTCTCTCTCTCTCTCATAACGTATGTTGAATTGTAGGAGGCGTCTCACATGTACAACCGACTTGTCGGAATTGCTTCCCTGGTTCCTCACTGGTATTCTGACTGCCTATAGCTATATTAGTACGATGCGCATGAAAAACTAATATGTTTCACTATTGATCATATGACATTCATTGAAGCATTGGCAATGAATAGTGTCTTTCGTGCATTTTCAGTCGTGATAATGTAATATCTACATGTGGATGGTCTTGTGTCCGAACATTATCAGCATGGAAATCTTGAGCACAATGCTTAGGCCATGACGACATCTCCTTGGTAGATCGGACACTGGTGGCTCGAGCGAAGAATTGCTTACAAATGACAGTCATCTGCTGCCCCTGACCTCACACAGACGGCACCACAGTGTACTAGTCAGCTGTAGTAGATAGATCATTTATTGATACAAAACTGTGAGGTCACAGGCCCATGCAACATTTAGGAAGGTTGTGTAAATCATAAACTAATTTCTAACTGGCATAGCATGAAAAAATATAACTTATCATTACCTTGTCCGGAAAAGTGAAATTTGATGATAAAAAAACAAAGCAGATGACATTAAAACCGATCACCCAAACGCATCAAGGCAACGACCATGGTAACACACTGCACGTGAGTTCCGTGCAAATTGAAATGCACATGCGTTCCCCCATTTCTTGCCCTATAAAAATCCACCAAGATCGGATAACATTCATTCGTTATTGAATTGCTACCACATGCCAAGATTGACAAGAAATCAGCAACACCAAGCCCTTGGATGACTGAAAGCTGGACAAACCGCCCGGCAAGTAGCCAATGCATTTCAAGTCCACGTAATGACCATATACAGGCTCCAGCGGTACCAGACCACCAACACCACAGATGACCGACCAAGTAGTGGAAGACCAAGGGTCACCACCCGACGTCAAGATCGTCAGATTTGGGACAACATCTTCAAGATCGCTTTGCTACTACTGCGGAAAGTGCTCGACAGACCATGGGGACACACCAGCGACACATTAGCGCGGACACTGTTCATCGACGATTGACGAGCAGACACCTCCACTGTCACAGGCCACACCAAGGACCCATTCTGACACCAAGTCATCGCCGGGACCGTCGTCATTGGGCAACACAGCACCACATTTGGCGCCACCAACAGTGGAGAAGAGTCCTCTTCTCAGACGAGAGGCGTTACTGTATCTCAACAGCCGATGGCAGAGAGATAGTCTGTCGACGACGTGGGAAACGTGATTCGGATGCTTGTGTTGTTGAGAGAGCCTCGTGGGGTGGTCCGAGCATCATGGTGTGGGGTGTCGGCCCTGTGATCTTCCAGAACATCAGTCCAGGGAGAGGCAATGGTGTCACGACAGCTCGGTACATTGATCAAGTCCTGGGACCACACGTCATACCTCATTTGGCATGTCGCTGCAACCACGGGTTTCAGCACCATAACGCTCGTGCCCACACTGTGAGAGCAACAAGAGACTTCCTCGAGCAGAATGGCATCAAAATCATGCAGTGGCCTGCCCTCAGTCCCGATTTAAATTCCATTGAGCACCAGTGGGGCGCGATTCAAAGACGGCTGAATGAATGACGACCGAGGACGACAACAGCAGCTGAACTGCGCCAGCGTTCCTCAGAGTGTGGAATCAAGTACCTTTGGCCTTCATCAACCGACTCATCCATTCCATGCATAGACGTTGCACGGCAGTCATCAATGCACATGGCGGACACAGAAGATGCCATTTTCTCAGAGAATAGTGTTGTGTGTCACTTTAAGAACATTTGACACTTTAATTTCATCTTTGATGATCAGTTTTGCCAAGTTTCATCTTTTTATTATGTCTCAAAGTATGTTTACAGTGTTTGGACAAATAAGGTTTCTCAGATATCTATCCATTGTGACGTTTCTTTTGTGGTTCAGTATGTTTATATGGCATAAAAACAGGTCGTTATTTTCATATCAAAAAAGATCTGGATTACACTTCATTATAAATTACAAATTTATTACAGATTACAAATCTTAACTTCTTTGAGTGACATTTAGGTGTTGGTACACGGTGAACACGGGAGATATAGTTCTATAGGCATATAAAGTCTTCATTACAATGAATGCGACGTTTCGGTGAAGATACCAACACCGTTATCAAGCATGTGATGTACATAAATAATAAATAGGAAGATTAAACACAAGAAGTTGAATTATGTTTTACAGAAGAAGAAGAAAATTAGTTTATTTATGTGTCACACAGTGTACAATGACGAAGATGCAGTAGTGAATACTATACTTTTAACTGTCCGGCCAACATGGGACATATACATTAGAAGTACATGGTCATTAGAAATTGCATTTCAACACAAAACATGACACTACATTGCTATAAATCCTGGCAGGCTCACCCGTGTCTACAGTCATCACCCCCATCACCCGTGTCTACAGTCATCACCCCCATCACCCGTGTCTACAGTCATCACACCTATCACCCGTGTCTACAGTCATCACCCCCATCACCCGTGTCTACAGTCATCACCCCCATCACCCGTGTCTACAGTCATCACACCTATCACCCGTGTCTACAGTCATCACCCCCATTACCCTTGTCTACAGTCATCACACCCATCACCCGTGTCTACAGTCATCACCCCCATCACCCGTGTCTACAGTCATCAACCCCATCACCCGTGTCTACAGTCATCACCCCCATCACCCGTGTCTACAGTCATCACCCGTGTCTACAGTCATCAAACCCATCACCCGTGTCTACAGTCATCACTCATATCACCCGTGTCTACAGTCATCACCCCCATCACCCGTGTCTACAGTCATCACCCCCACCACCCGTGTCTACAGTCATCACCCCCATCTCCCGTGTAGTCATCATCCCCATCACCCGTGTCTACAGTCATCACCCCCACCACCCGTGTCTAAAGTCATCACCCCCATCATCCGTGTCTACAGTCATCACCCCCATCACCCGTGTCTACAGTCATCACACCCATCACCCGTGTCTACGGTCATCAGACCCATCACCCGTGTCTACAGTCATCACCCCCATCACCCGTGTCTACAGTCATCACACCCATCACCCGTGTCTACGGTCATCAGACCCATCACCCGTGTCTACAGTCATCACCCCCATCACCCGTGTCTACGGTCATCAGACCCATCACCCGTGTCTACAGTCATCACCCCCATCACCCGTGTCTACGGTAATCACACCCATCACCCCTGTCTACAGTCATCACCCCCATCACCCGTGTCTACAGTCATCACACCCATCACCCGTGTCTACAGTCATCAGCCCCATCTCCCGTGTCTACAGTCATCACCCCCATCACCCGTGTCTACAGTCATCACCCCCCATCACCCGTGTCTACAGTCATCACACCCATCACCCGAGTCTACAGTCATCACCCGTGTCTACAGTTATCACCCCCATCACCCGTGTCTACAGTCATCACCCCCATCACCCGTGTCTACAGACATCACCCCCATCACCCGTGTCTGCAGTCATCACCCCCACACCATACCCTTTTACCCATACCTCCGCTCAGCAACCCGTCCATCCATCCGCTCCCTCTCACCACTCCCCCAACACCTTGCCATCTTTCCCCAAGTCGAATCAGCCACCCATACACTCATCTGATCCACACTCACGCCCATCTACCCACCCTCACATCTTTGGACCCATCTACCATCACACCTATCCCTCAATCAAGTATCATCACAGCCATGCACCCACCTATGCGCCATACAGCCATTCACTCTGACATCCAACCATGCGCCCACCCAACTATGCAGCCACCGTCCACCTCTCCTCCGTCATACGTGAATACCTGCAATCACACAGCCATGCAAACAACCATACAAAGGCATGTTCACTCATACATACATAGGTATGTCATCTTATATCATGCATAGGCATGTAACACTCACTCACTGAATCGCACTCTCTCTCTCTCTCTCACACACACACACACACACACACACACACACACACACACACACACACACACACACACACACACACGTTTGATTTATTTAGTCTTGCTTTTAAGAACTAGAACAAAAACAATGTTGCTATGACATAGCCTCAATAACAGTTCCATCCCTTCATCCAGCGACACAGGGGTGCAACCCACGGCAAACGGGTTGCCCAATTCGGATCGACTTTTACGACCACCATAGGGGTGCTGAGGACCCATTCTACCCCGGGTTCCCATGGGGCTCACATTCGTTAGTGCTAAGTCGTGTCAAAACTTTTGTGTCATAACAACTGGTAGTCTGTCACTGATGGGTGCCTTGTATACCCTGGGCTAGCTTGAGTTGCACCTGCAATTCAATTTTGCCGTAAATTGATTGCAGCCAGGGCCAACGACCCTCATAATACGGCGCTGTTGAACATATGTCAAAGACGTAATCGTCCGGGCATATGGATGAACATGATGTCACATTACATATTCCCGAATGAAGCAACAGATTACATTCTTATGTCGAAGCGTTTACATCTGACGTTTCTTAAGCGATTCAGTATATATGAACTAAATGTCGGCGATTATTTCATGTGAAGCAAACTTCGAAACAGATGACAATCGCTTATAGCGCCATTTTGATGAATCCTATGACCGGAGTTTTTGTCATCTTCAAGCACGAGATGGCAACACATGCACACAATGAAGTACACCACTATGCTAACCTTGATACAACTGAAACAGAACAAGAGACACGTAATGTGGTATTTTGTATGTGGCGTTCGTTGTGTATCATCTGTTATTAGTATCGTTGGTTTTAAGCTCACCTAATTGCGAGAGCTTGTATTGTGATGAGATCATTCGACAGTTATCGCCCAACGATCCGATTTTTCCAATTACTCTGCATGCATCATAATGAAACTTATGCAAATTAACGCATAACATGTTGTTTTGCATATTTGTATTCTTGACCGAGCTAAGATGCTTAACCTTCACATTGCCATGAGTAATACGTTTAACAGCTCTTTCATAATAGCCTCTAAAATTATAAGGTATAATAGTATGAAGATGTTTCTATGGTGTCGTCACAACCTGCACAGAGAATCTTCTCTTGACCTCTGTAGGGGGCACGGATGGCCCAGTCGTCTAAGGCGCCGCGATTCGCTGTGCAGTGTTGCTTCCCTTGGGCACGCCAGAAATCCCGGTTCGACCCGATTATGTTTCTAGGTTTGTCAGCACCATACCCGTGATCGTGCGTTTCACCGAAGTGGTAAACGTCTGAGACCTGCATCATTTCGGGCTTTCCTCCCACATTAAGCTGACACGCCGCGATATAACTGGAATACTGTTAAAAGCGGCGTTAAACCCAACTCACTCACGTACTCACTCAACCCTTTGGAATACTTAAATGGCATTTATATGAATGCCCCCGTATCAATGGTGACATCCTTTTGCTATATATTTTCATATTGTTTAAAAACCGTTGAAATATGACCTCTGTATAGCCAGTTATCAATGCATCATTTTGTAAGTACGTATGCTGTGAGTACGTACGTGTGTTTGGTAGAGAATTCTGATATATTTTGTGCTTATCCTTCTGTACCCCAGTATGACACATTCGGTTCTGATATAATATTCTAGAGCGTCAGGTGCGCCAGAGAGCTTTTTGACTCAAGCAGATAGTTAATCTGTATCAGGAGAACCAAGCACAAATGATTCACGTAAACACACCTACATGTATATCATACCTCAACAGCATTTACAGATAGTATGAACAATCGTTAAAATAATATTCAGAAACTATGAAAATTAGTTTTATGTGTGGCACTAGTTGTGATTTACACATATTAGTGCGTTAATACATTCCTTTCGCTACTACAGTGGTAGTCACAATAGTGACATAATTATTGTTATGAGTGGTTCCTATGCCCCTCCTGACCGCCCGATCCCGTTAGGCACCTCTTACGACAAGCATGGGTTGCAGAATAGGTCTTCAGCAACCCATGCTTGCCGTAAAAGGCGACTATGCTTGTCGTAAGAGTCGACTAACGGGATCGGGCGGTCAGGCTCGCTGACTTGGTTGATGCATGTCATCGATCCCAATTGCGGGGATCGATGCTCATGATGTCAATCACTAGATTGTCTGGTCCAGAATCGATTATTTACAGATATATACGTCATTAGGCTGGAATATTGCTGAGTGCGGCGTTAGCCAACAAACCAACCAATGCCCCTCCCCTCCTCCAACAGAGAGAGAGAGAGAGAGAGAGAGAGAGAGAGAGAGAGAGAGAGAGTGAGTTAAATTTTACATCGCATCGGCAATATTCCAGCCATATAGCGATGTGAACTAGGTATTTAATCTAAAATATCTGTCAACAAAGGACAGTAAAATAGTAAGTTATATCACAGTTGGTTTTTTTAATAAAACAAACTAGATCATAATTTCCTTTAAAAACATATAGTAATAAGGATAATAGATTAAGTCCTATCAATTAAAACAAGGATATAGACCACCAATAACCAAAGTTAGACCACCTTACTGGAGATCATGGGGACTTACAGTACCTATGCTTCCTGCATGACTCCCCAGCAGGATTTATGCCATCACTTTGGTTACCAGTGGGTGTACCGTATGCTAGCCAATATTAAAAAACACAAAACAAATTGACAATACAATCAAAGTTCTAAAACGCAAGACAATATTACTTACCTTGATCGAGAATGGATTTACGTGGCACAAGCAGAAGGACAATATTTTTACACTACTTTAACCACCCGAGTGGCACCACCATCAACAATCTCAGTTGATGTTAATAGTTAACATATTTATATATCATCTATCAAAATTTATCTATTAGTTCAATTCAAGAATTAAATGAGTACTGACATTATTAAAAAGATCCTTCAATGAAGATGAATGATAATATTTATCCCTTGTGAGAGAGAAATCGACACAATCAAGCAAAACATGCTTGACGGTGATTCTCTCATCACAAGGGATACAGAATGGAGGATCTTCAGCTTTTAACAAATATTCGTGCGTATAACGAGAATGGCCAATACGACATCGTCGCAGAATGACCTCTTCAAATCTGGACTGACAACCCAAGTAAGTGTAACCGATAGTTTGTTTTATGGCATGTAGCTTATTTACACCTACTTGGGTGTCCCACTTCTTTTGCATAAGGTCCCTGATGTAACATCTTATAACAGGTTTAATATCACTGTATGGAATAAGAAGTGGGGTCACAGAGTGCTGCCTTTGCAGCAGCATCAGCCATTGTGTTACCCACAATGCCGACATGGCTGGGCAACCAACAGAAGACAATGTCGTATTGGCCAGTGGCAAGATCATTGTACATTTCTAATATATCCAAGATGAATGGATGACCCGAAGACATGTTTTTAATCGCCTAAAGACAGGACAGTGAATCAGAAAATATTATAAATTGTTTGTGGATGGACTGCTGTTGAATGTATTCCAAAGCTGTGAGTATTGCCTTAGATTCGGCTGTGAATATAGAGCTATTGTCGGGTAATCGGGAAGAGATAGTTTTAGATCCAATGACAGTGGCACTAGAAACATTGCCACCGTCCTTGGATCCGTCGGTGAAAATAGAACGGTGAGAATCATAATTGCTCCTCAACTGTATGTAATCCTGTTGATAGTGTAAGTCATTAGTTACTGATTTTTTGTTATTAGCAAGCGTTAGATCCACTGTCGGTCGAACCAATTGCCATGGAGGAGATGATAAAAGTCTGTGTGGAGATACGGTATCAAGTTCTATCCTGGCAGCAGTAATTTGGGATTTCATCCGAATCCCAAGAGGTGGAATATGTTTGGGTTTCTTCTGAAAAAGTTCTTCATATTGTGGATGAAAAACTGTATCATAAGCAGGATTTGATAGATTTGAACGTAGTTTTGCAATATACTGAAGAGACAATTTAATACGTCGCTGGTGAAGAGAAGGCTCATCAGCTTCGACATAAAGGCTATCAATAGGAGACGTCCTGAAGGCGCCAAGACAGAGTCTCAGGCCTTGATGGTGGACTGTATCTAATTTTTCGAGATTACTCTTACAGGCTCCACCATATACAATCGAGCCATAATCTAATTTGGAGCGAATAGGAGATCTATATAAGTGGAGGAGGGTTGTCTGATCCCCTCCCCACTTAGAATTTGATACGACTTTCAGTAGATCTAAGGCCTTCAGGCATTTATTCTTCAGATACTTAATATGAGGCAAATAGGTCAAATGATGGTCAAAAACAATTCCTAAAAATTTGGCCTCCTCAACAACCTTGATTGGAGTATAGTCAAGAAACAATTCAGGATCTTTATGAGGTTTATAACTTCGACAAAAATGAATACAATTTGTCTTGGATTTTGAAAATTTGAAACCATTTTTTTTCACACCAATTCTGAATTTTATTTAAGCAAAGCTGCAATTGTCTTTCAATAGTGCGCATATTTTTGCCACGACACGAAATGTTAAAATCGTCAACAAATAATGACCCATCAATCGAGTCATTTAATACAGTTGCTAAACTGTTAATCTTAATACTAAACAAAGTGACAGACAATATACTGCCCTGTGGGACACCCTGATCCTGATTATAATGATCAGACAGGGTTGAGCCCACGCGGACTTGAAATTGCCTGTCAGTTAAAAACTTTGATACAAATTGAGGCAAACGGCCTCTCAAACCAAAGTCATGTAAATCATTCAAAATACCATGTTTCCATGTGGTATCATATGCTTTTTCTAGGTAAAAAAAGATTGATACAGCATGCTGCT